AAAAAAAAATGAGTACTTAATATACCACATGTTTAATTTCTGTATTCTGGTATATTCATCGTTAGATTCTAAGATTAAATGAACTTAAAAATTAAAACTTTTATAGGTTTTTTTTTCCCTGTTTTCCTATTTTGCGATGAAATAATTCACATAATAATGTCCTTTTATGTGTCTTCCTTTAATTCTTTAGGGATCAGCACTTTCTAAAATTTGAGTGATATTTCTCCTTTCATAATAATAGTCATAGAAACTACTTTCAGAGGTTTATGAGTGGATTTCAAAATGACCATAGAAAACTCAGAGAAGTTTTAAAATGTATACCCTTTTTCTGTGTTTTTTAATTCTTGTCCACATATGATTTCTTTTCATCTAAATTTATTATATCTCTTTGGTCTCTGGTGTTGCCTAGTGTCATCTGGGGGCAGGTCATTTTTGCTTACATGTTATATCTTATGTCTGTCTTGATCTTATGTAATTCAGTTATTCTTTAAGATTACATTTTTCTTTCTTAGTTATGTTTGGTATTATCTATAAATTTTTCTTTTTTTTCAACCTGTCATTCCTTGACTCTTAACTGTTCTACCTCTTCATTCAGTTATTCTGTTACACTTCTTTTATCCCTTGTTCTTTTTCATTTGTCCCTTTCTGTTCTTTCAAGTACTCCTTAACCTGCCTATCACCTCAGCTTTTTTTTTTCTTTTTTTTTTAGAGATTTTTTTTTTAATTGGGGAATTGGGGGATGGGAACAGCGCTGTGGAATTGGGGGAAGGGGAACAGACAAGTTGCTGTCCTTTTGCTTTTTTCAGTCTAGTTGTGGAAGACGTTGCTTCACTGGCCCAAGTTGGCACCATCATTGTGCTCTTCCCGGGCGAGGCAGATCAGTTGCCGGCTTCTGGACGGCTGCTCACAGCGGCTGCTGGCCGCTCACGCTGGCAGCTGGCTACACACAGTAGTCCATGGCAACCCACTGCCACAGGGGCTGCAGCTACACCGTCGCTGGCGACTCACAGCAGCCCAGCTCCAGATTGAGCTGCCGTTGAGCATCCTAGCTGTAGAGGGCAGTGTCACTGGCCCTCATATGTGGGATCCAACCCGGGGCCCTCTGGCGTCCCAAGCCAGCTCTTGACCATCGTGCCACTTGGCCGGCCCAGCTTTTTGTTTTTTGTTTTTTATTTTTTGCCTTTCTTACTTTTCCCCCTTCTCATTTTACAGAATACCTTTTCTCCTGTTGCTTAGTCCTCAGCCACTGATCAGTCTTATTTTCCTTGTATTCCATTTTATATCCTGAAACTTTCATCTTCTTTTCACCACTTTACCTTCCCTCCCTTCCTTTTTTTTCCCTTCTATATACACAGTCATCACAACAGTTTGGGATAATCTGGTTATCTGATTATGAAATTGTTGAATTGGATTGTACCTTAAATATAAGGAAATTAGATTCAAAGACGTTAAAAGATTTGCTCAGTGTCACATAGTTGGTTAATTTTGGCACATGCACCTCCCACCTCTCCCCGACCCCCACACTCACCTGTTTAATTCATCTAGTTAAACAGGTTTAATTTGTAAGTCAGTTTCTATAAGGAGGGTTTCATTTTAAATAGGTGGAGATAGAACAGCTTTCCTTCCTGATAGCTAGTCTTGTTTTTTTATAGATCAGTAGAAATATAGCTGGGAGCACTTAGGTTGAAAGAAACTCATTAGTTCTTGGGAATAAGAGTTTTCTTTTTCTTAATATTTTATTAACCATATCTCTTAACATCTTGAATTTAAACTAGATATATTTTGGCTAATGATCATTTAATTTTTAGATTTCCTTAATAATTGGGACCTAATGATTTGTTTTTAAAAAATATATTTAAAATCCTACATAAAAGGTAATTTAGAGGGTAATTTTGTTAGTACTGTTAGATCAGATTTCTTGTTATAATTTCTTGTTATAAAGTAACTTTCAGAATTGTGTGTACCATTTCTGCATTTTTACTATCTGGAATGAGATTGCACCATCTCTTACTGTATTCTACTATAATAAGATGTAATATATTGGACCCTGAGCCTACTGAGAGCAGTGAGAAATACCTACTTTTTTTTTTTTTTTTAAGCTGAGCCATCCTGCCACCTGTTGGCAGCTCAGCAGCTGCTCAGCTCGGGCTGGACTTGAACTGCCGTTGCTCAGAGCTCAAACTCTTCAGCGAGCTCTTAACCAACTGAGCCACTCGGCCAGCCCGAGAAATACCTACTTTTATACTTCCATTGTCTTGTTCATGCTGCTCCCCAACCCTTATCTCCTTCACCTTTTAGAAAACTCCTATTTAAAATCCAGCTCAAATGCCACTTTCTTTTGGGTAGTCTTTCATGTCACATATTGTCTGAAGTAATTGTTTCTTTATTTCTATAGTACATTATACATATCTTTTTACAAATTATTGCACTATTCTTTTATATTTTAAGAATGCTTCTGTTATGGTATTTTATATATCATTTATCAATTTGTCCCAATATACTGTGAGCTCCTTGAGTTCATGCTTGTATCATATCTTGACACAGGGTTTAGCTAGTATCTGGCTCAATACAACGGCTCAATAAATACCTCTAAAATAAAATACAGTAAAATTTAACTTAAAAACTGTAAAGGCAAAAACAAATATAGAAAGTAGAGTAGTCTGAAGCTGTTAATCATAGAAGATAAGGTATGAAGTTATATATTACAGCATAGTGCCATATCAGGTGTTCCTTGTGATGACCCCCGTTATGTTTACTATTATCTTTCATTGAAGCCAAGATATTTGTAATCTTTTCTAAAAAGTACTCTGTTAGTATAATCTGTTTAAGATGCAGGAATGAATATAACACAGTATGTTTACTATCATGTGAGTGTGTACTCAGGAGAGAGGATATTTAGAAAATTTCATCAAGGTATTTTATTTATTTTTTTTGGTTTTGTCTTTTTTTTAAAAAGATTTTTATTGGGGAATTGGAGGGATGGGAACAGTGCTGGGGAATTGGGGAAGGGGAACAGACAAGTTGCTGTCGTTTTGGTCTTCAGTCTAGTTGTGGAGGACATTGCTTCACTGGCCCAAGTTGGCATCATCATTGCGCTCTTCCCGGGCGAGGCAGATCAGTCGCCGGCTTCTGGACGGCCGCGCACTGCGGCTACTAGCCGCTCACGCTGGCTGCTGGCTACACACAGTAGCTTATGGCAACCCATTGCCACAGGGGTGGCAGCCTAGCCATCGCTGGCGACTCACAGCAGCCCAGCCCCAGGTCCAGCTGTTGTTCAGCATCTTAGCTGTGGAGGGCAGTTTCACTGGCCCTCATATGTGGGATCCGAACCGGGGCCCTCTGGGGTCCCAAGCCAGTTCTTAACCATTGCGCCCACTCGGCCGGCCCTCATCAAGGTATTTTAAAAAATTGGTTTTTAAAATGGTTTACATTAAAATTGTGTGATAAACTACTATGTAGGAAGACTGGTTTGCTGGTGGGATAAGATATGGAGTGGTAGGGAGCTTTAATCACTAGGGTTTTTATTTTCATTGCCTTTGCTACTAATGCCTACAAATTAAATTACTTAGATATGGAGATCAATTTTATATAACCGCGCTAGACTATACACTGTAGTTTGACATGTACATTTACTTTTAAAAGATAGCAGATTCAAAAATTTCAAGTATAATATTATTTTTAAAGAATATTTTGAAAATATAGACGAGCCTAAAGAAGATAATAAAGAGATAATGCTAGAGATGATAAATCATAACTAATGCATATCCTTTTAATCTGGAAACATAGTGTTCTAATTTTCTCCACGGTTCTATGAAGTAAGTCTGTACTAGGTCCATTTTATAGAACAGAACTTAAGGATCAAAGCAATTTTTCAGCTTATCCAAGAAAACCCAGATTTTAAAATTTAAATATCAGTGCCCTTTCCCTACACTATCATTGCCTCTGTTTTATTTTATTTAGTTCACAAAAAGAAAAATAAATTAATTATACTGTAGCTTATTTTATCTTTGTTACCATTTTTAGGGACATTTTAAATCCAAAGGATGTGATAAGTGCCCAGTTTGAAAATACCACCATTAGTAAAGATTTTTGCAGTCAATCATGTTTGTCAACGTATGAACTGAAAAGAAAACCTGTTGTTACCATAAATGCGAATAGCATTTCAACCAAATGCAGCATGTGTCAGAAGAATGCTGTTGTAAGTTATATTTTTACTTTTTTGTGGGGGAGGAGTCTAATGTATGTGCTGAAAGAACAGCTTTTGATGGTCTCTGCTTGTTATTTGTATGTTATTTTTTGATTCCTAGATTCGACATGAAGTTAATTACCAAAATGTGGTACATAAACTTTGCAGTGATGCTTGCTTCTCTAAATTTCGCTCTGCTAACAACCTCACCATGAACTGTTGTGAGAACTGTGGGGGTTACTGTTACAGTGGCTCTGGACAATGCCACATGCTTCAGATAGAGGGACAGTCTAAGAAGTTTTGTAGTTCAACATGTGTCACAGCATATAAGCAGGTACATGACCATAATTAATCCCAGTGTCTTGTTCATTTCAGGGGTATCTAAATTTTTTGGTGGAAATTATTTATGAAAATGCTGTCACAAAAATATTAAGATCTTATTATTAGCTTAAGTAATATTTTTACATATAAATAATAGTTGTTGAATGAATTCCTGTTAAAAACTTTGTAACAGAATTTACAAGTAGCATATATTTCTGTTCATGCATTTGAAATATATGTTTTTAGGGCATAGCTTTTTTTTTCATATGTGATTTGTGTTTTTGAACAATATTTTGAAAATGCAGAAAAGCACAACGAAGAAGAATAATGCATCTCCCAGAGATAACCAGTCCCATTCTTTTGGTGTGTACCTTCTAATCTTTGGAATATATTTTGGTTCTCTCTCTCTCTCTCTCTCTCTCTCTCTCTCTCTCTCTATTTGATAGGGTAAGGTCCTGGTTGCATTCGTATTCTTGAAATCAAATCCACCTCGTTGAAATTGAAGTTCAGAAAATAAACATCTTATTTACCATTTAATTGTTTAAAAGGTTTTTTGTCCTCTTCATGAAATAAGAAAAAATTAAGTGTGGATTGTATATTACTTGATTAATTCTTATATGACAAATGTCTTATGTAGTTTTGTTTGTACTAAATTTATATTTTGTTAGTAAATTTTGATCAAAAATTAGATTTTAAAATCGATAAATCCAGAGGAATAGTCAGAACTTTTTGCATTTTAAATTTTACAGTGCCTTTCTGTTTTCAGTGCATTTGCTGATCATTCTTTTTCTTAGATTAGTGAATTTTTATACAATCTACCAAAATTAGTGAATTTAATAATGTTGATTGGGAAATTTATTTAAATTTTTCTTAAAACTTTGCAATGATTCTGGAATTTTAAACATCATACAGTGTTTCCATTTATTTCTTGTTAATATACAAACATATTAAAAGGGCATAGCTTTACTATTTATTCCATCTTTTAGAAACACCTTATTTTTGCTCTCATAGGGGAAGAACCCCCAACAATATCTTCATGTGCTTTATCTTTGTCCAAAAGACTTTTCCTGATACTGTCCCAAGCACTAAAAGTTACTTGATTCAGTCACTTGAAAGATGGTTCATATGCAACAAGAGGAGAAATAGGTTGAAACAGCTTAATTTTAATTTTATTATAATTTAGCCAATACCTGTTAAACTTCTCACTTTTTAATATGTACTGTGGTGTAGAGAAAGAACCTGGATTTAGAAGTAAAGCAGATCTCCATTTGATTCCCAAACTTTCTATTCAAATAGAATTTTGCCTTGGGGAAAGCAGTTAAACTCCTTGAGTCTATTTTCTTATCTGTAAATAGGTATTATACTACCTATGTCACTGGAATGTTTTTAGGATTATATGAAGTAAGGAGGAGAAAACGCCTAGTATAGAACCTCTGGTATATTGTATAATACACAAACACAAAACCTCAGAAGTGTGTGTGTACTGGGTCTCTGTCAAATTTATTTCTTACTGAGGATTGTAATCATAAAAGTTTGAAAGCCACTAATTTAAAATATTTCAACACTGCTAAGTATAAACATTTCAAAGAATTATGCTTTTACTTGTAATTTGGTAAAAATGAATGTTATTTTATTCTCTTAATAGAAATCAGCCAAAATTACACCATGTGCGCTTTGCAAATCATTGAGATCCTCAGCAGAAATGATTGAAAATACCAATAGCTTGGGAAAGACAGAGCTTTTCTGTTCTGTTAATTGCTTATCTGCTTACAGAGTTAAAATGGTTACTTCTGCAGGTAATACTGGTTTTGTAAACTATATAAATACAGTAGTTGAAAAAATTATGGTTATTGCTTTGTCTTTTTAATACAGATTTTTGTATAAATTTAGTTTATTTTAAAGACAAATTTAAAATATTTCAGATCTGTGTTGTAAAATATCACCTATTACCTTGATTGCTTATTTTATATTTATTTACTTGCTTGCCTATTTGTGCATTCCTCCTTACCAAAAGAATTTCATATGGCTTCTTTAATGTATTTTCTTTATCCACACCACCTTATTTCAAGATACATTTATCTTATAGTTTCAGGGTAGACTATGATAGCTTTAAAAAAATATTTTGAATGTTAAGTTAGTTTTGTCTATATGTGATGGGATTAAGTTTAGTTTCGGTTCCTGCAACTTGACCTGGCCCTTGAATTTTCATATGTTGTATAATATTTATCTTCTCATACATTTATGTACGTTTGTATATATATTACTTATTAGTTTTTATTTTGATTTGCTAAGGTGTACAAGTTCAGTGTAACAGTTGTAAAACCTCAGCAATCCCTCAGTATCACCTAGCCATGTCAGATGGAAGTATACGCAACTTCTGCAGCTACAGTTGTGTGGTAGCTTTCCAGGTATGGCTTCAGGAATCTTCCTCTTCTTCAGTTAGTAAGTGGCCTACTATAGTGATAATGTAAACTTTTTAGATGTTTGCTAGTGCCTGGATTGCGAAATTTCTCAGTCCTATTAAAGTTGGATTTTTTTGGTTCATCCTTTATTGGAGGCATGTCATTTAACTGCATTCTTTAAAATTAAATGGTACTATTATCACCCAGATTATCTATTGGGAGGATATTATTTTTGAAGAAGATTACTAGTTAAATTATTTAATTTTGGATATAAATACCACTCCCCCCATTCAGAGGCAGGGAGTTTTGTCTGTTCACAAATATATCTTATGTACCTAGAACTGTGCTTGGCATACTTAGACAGTCAGTACTTACTTGTTTGAACAAATAGTGAGATTAATCTTTTTTTTTTTTTTTTTTCAGAATTTATTTAACAAACCAACAGGAATGAATTCTTCAGTAGTGCCCTTGTCTCAGGGCCAAGTAATTGTAAGCATCCCCAGAGGTTCAACAGTGTCAGCAGGAGGAGGTAACACCTCTGCTGTTTCTCCCACCTCCATCAATAGCTCTGCTGCAGCTGGTCTCCAGCGTCTTGCTGCCCAATCTCAGCATGTTGGGTTTGCACGAAGTGTTGTAAAACTTAAGTGTCAGCACTGTAACCGTCTGTTTGGCACAAAACCAGAACTTCTTGACTATAAGGTAAAATGTAAGATTGTGGTGTAAAGGGTTTGAGTGTAAACTGGTCTATCTGTAAAATTGTTTCTGACTTTTCATCTTTCAAAATTACACTATTTGCTTTGAAAGTAAGAGGGTTAAGAATTTTCATAAGATAAACCAAATGTTTAATTAGTACTTAATGATTATTTCTTTGCAGGGTAAAATGTTTCAGTTTTGTGGCAAGAATTGTTCTGATGAGTATAAGAAAATAAATAATGTAATGGCAATGTGTGAATATTGTAAAATTGAGAAAATTGTAAAGGAGACTGTGAGATTCTCAGGTGCTGACAAGTCATTCTGTAGTGAAGGTAAAGACACGATTATCTTACCTAATGTGCATGTTGGTTGTTTTAAAAGTAGATAATGTTTTAAGCTATTGCTGTGTATATTTCTCTCTCTTATCCTCTGTGTATAACACCAAAGCCTTTTTCTTTTGTTTACACCTGTTTACTCTTTTCTGATCTAATCCTTCATATCATATAAATGTTAAAATGAAGGAAAAGATCCTCAAAGTATATTACAGAAGATGGTGGTAATGTGAAAAACATTTAATGTTATTAGGCTGATAGGGATCTTTTAGTTATAGCACTTATTTCTAAAAGGAATTTCTTAAAATTTGGTAGCATCCTAAGATTATACTTTTTTTGTTTTAAACCTTTATGTTTCTAAATATAAATGATCTGAATTTGCATATCAGTATGAGGTAGATTTTCTCCTTTATTTAAATTATATGTTTAGAATGTTTTGTTTTATTCTAGAACTGCACAAAATTAGCCTACTATACTAGTGACTTTCAAACCTTTTGATCACAACACAAAAGAAACACATTTTACATTGTGACCCAGTATATTATCATATACCCAAATAAAAGTTTCATGAAACAAATCAACTTTTCCTATATGTTATACATTATAATATTTTCTAAATGATAGTATAAATCCTCTATATTGATTTCTTGATCTACTAATTGGTGAGGAGCCAAGTGTGGGAACTTTACTATAGAGCATTTAAATTAAATATGGAGATACTTAATATTTCTCTCTAATATTAATTTTATCTTTCCTGATCTTTTTTTTTTAGGTTGCAAATTGCTTTATAAACATGACTTGGCAAAACTCTGGGGAAATCACTGTAAAATGTGCAGTTATTGTTTACAGACATCTCCCAAATTGGTACAGAATAATTTGGGGGGGAAGGTGGAGGAGTTTTGTTGTGAAGAATGCATGTCCAAATATACAGTTCTGTTCTATCAGGTAAATATAATTCACATTCCTGGGTTTTTCAAGTTAGGGCATACGTTATTCCCTTCTTTTATTCTTTGATGAAGTATGAAGGACAATTTAATCACTTAAACTTTATAGTATTAAATGTATTATGTTCTCCTCCTGCATTAAAGTAAGATTTTGGAAGACTTTAATGTCACTGAAGTTATATTCCTTTTGTTTTGAATTTCCTTGTAGAATACATAACAGTCTTAAGACATTAAAATATTTAAAATATAGTTTTATGCATTATTTAACTAAAATGAATTTGTCTTTTGAAGTCTTTAAGGAAGATAGGTCTTATTTCATTTCACTATGTTTTTAAATTACTATTTATTGGCATCTCTATAGTGTGACTTTTAAAAATGTTTATTATAAAATTATTGATAGATAAATATTTACCATTTTAGGATAGTTAACTTTCACTTTTGTGACTTAAATTCTAAGTTAATTTCCTTACTTGTTATGTGTATCCTGCTTTTTTTCTGTCAGACCACAGATAATTTGTTTCTTACTCCTTTACTATCTTCTATTTCTTTTTCAGATGGCCAAATGTGATGGTTGTAAGCGACAGGGTAAACTCAGTGAGTCTTTGAAATGGCGAGGAGAAATGAAACATTTCTGTAACCTGCTTTGTATCTTGATGTTCTGTAATCAGCAAAGTATGTGTGACCCACCGTCACAAAACAATGCAGGTAAAATTAAACTTTTAGTCTTTGATCAGTGTGGTTGACTAACTACTCTTCTACAGATTGGGAACAATAAACAATTGTCTATAATGTCATGAAACATAAATTTCATTCTATTCAAATGATGTTAACACTTAGATCTTTTTTTATTTAACATGTTAGATTAAAGCCCAGTAAATGAGTTATTTTACTTTTCTCTGAGCATATTGAATCAAATAAACTCTTTAAGAACCTTGAGAGTTTTGTAGTTGGATATAGACACTTTGAGTTCCTTAGAAAAGGATTTGAGACTATAACAAAGGATATAGAATCTCACATGGCCTCTTAAATATACCATCTGCATAGTTATGCAAGATAAAGCACATGGAATACTTTTAAGTTTCATCAATTAAAAAATAGAAAAAAAAACCCAGTTAATTTTGAAGTGATTACTCCCAACAGAATTTACTCTAACTTAAAAGCATTAATTGCCTTGAGATGTTGGTTTCTATGTATGTGCATATAAGTTACATGAAGTTTTAAATTTTTTGTTTATTTTAATCAGCAAGTATTTCCATGGTGTCAGCTGCTTCAACAGGGCCCCCATCACTAAGAAAAGATTCAACTCCAGTTATAGCTAATGTAGTCTCATTAGCAAGTGCTCCTGCTGCTCAGCCCACAGTGAATTCTAACAGCGTTTTGCAAGGTATGACTTGATTTAAAAGCATTTTATCCGGCCTTTTTGAAGTGAATGCAGTGGTTCTCATATCTTTTTTCCATCAGTAATCATTTTCATATATTTGACACATTCACATTAGGAATGGTGGCTCACTGTGGGCTGTTAGGTAGGGCATTAGTGTTTTCATAATTTCCAGATCTCTTTTTCTTGTATTTTGCTTTATATGCTAATCTTCCCTTGAATTAAATTAACACGTTTTTATTATGAGAGACTTTGTGTTTATTGTCCAGTAATCAGCTTTTAATGCTAATGCTTAATTGTATAAGATCCTAAATATATATTTTAATTTATATCAGGTGCAGTTCCAACAGTAACAGCGAAAATCATTGGGGATGTAAGTTTTATTTTGATTGGTATTGCCAATGTATTTATTTTCCATTTTTATGCAGTAAGACTATGTCTAAGCTAATTTACCCTTCTTTATTTTTTATTTAATAAAATAAATTTCATGAACTCATTTAATCTTTGTTCAGGAATAGGATTTCCTGTTTATTTAATTAGGTCTTTTATATACTTTAAAATTTTTTTTGAATGCTTGCTATCTGTGTAGTTACTGAAGGTTTGTTTTTGTTTTCACTTGTACATATTTAAATTGCACAGAATTCAGGCATAAAAGGTTTTGGGGGGCATTTGTAATATAGTCAGAGAGTAAATAAAATATTTATAAAATGTAGTTTGTTTTTCACCCAGTGCAGATTATACTGTAAATAAGCATTCCTCTTTTTTACTCAATATTTTTTACTTTGTCTCTTAAAATAAGAAAATAAATAATGAGAAAAACTTGTTACTAAAACAATGACATTTCTAAAGTGTTTACTGGTCTCTGGGATAACATTCGTATCATTTTCAAGTCACTCAAATGATCATCAGTGATTCTGTTATTTCTAGTTATCTTGAAACTTAAAGCTTCTAACACTTAACTCAGTCAAGAAGAAACATTTCTCATTTTAAACTTAGCCAACTTTGTTATTGATCAACAATGGTTTATAATAGAAATAGCATTTTTCTTGGTAAACAAAACTGGTATTTAGATATATTAAGAATTAATATATAGTTATCAAAATATTCCTTTATTGCTATTTCAGGACTATTATATTCCTTACATATTTAGTTGAATATTTATTTTCTGTGTCTTCCATGTAATTTCAATATAGTATTTCTTTAGAAATTATAATATTTTCTATAATTAATGATCAACTTTTGAAAATCTTTTTGGTTTCTTAGATTTGTTTATTTCTTTTGATTTTTGTTTTTAACTAGGCAAGTACACAAACAGATGCCCTGAAACTGCCACCTTCCCAGCCTCCACGACTTTTGAAGAATAAAGCTTTATTGTGCAAACCCATCACACAGACTAAAGCCACCTCATGCAAACCACATACCCAAAACAAAGAATGCCAGACAGGTATATTCCTTGCACTTTCTCCATTTAATTTTTTTAGGGGAAAGGAATGTGGGATATGCTATATTAATTGAGTGCCTACTATTTCCTAGCTAATGTATTTGGTTGCTTATATACAGTGTTCAAATTAGTTCTCACAACATCCCTGTAAGTTAGGTATTTTCACCATCTGAAACATAACAAGTTATGACAAAGAGAAGGTAGTTAATTGATAATACCACACTGTGAACACTTCATTTAATTTCCTTATTAATGACAGTGTAAGATTATGGAGTAAGTATAGACTTTGGAATTTATATAGACAGGGTCTTAATTAAGAGGAACTATTGTTTTACCCCTAGGTTTGAACTTTTCTACACTGTGTTTCAAATAAAGTTAATTCTTTGAGGAGAGCATCAGAGCTTCTTTTCTTACGAAGTACCTGTACCCCAGGCATAATCTTTGAGCCATTTCTCTGAATGCTAGGCAGGTTGTTAGCCTCTGATCATCTCAGCTTGCCTCTCCTGGTATGGAATCTCTACCCTACAAGTGATCTGGAGAGAATGTGATTTGGACCCCACTATTCTTAGCCTGTCGTTCCTGTAGGGCCTCTATCCTGTGGGTGGGAGCTGGGTAGAGAAAGGGAGCCCCCTGCCTGTCAACCATACTCCCCAGGAAATTAACCTTTAAACTTGGAGTTGGAGGGGATGAGAAATGATGGTGGCCTGCCCCTGCTGCTGAGCTAGATATGATAACCTTTGATTGGGAGCTGACTGAAGAGAAGCCAGTTCTTCCTGACCACACTCACCCAGAGTGCAGCTTCTGTCAATTGAACGGACTGAGCTGGGGATGTGGAGCAAGAGATGGATCAACTATCATAGACTCCCACTTCTTACTGTATTTTAGTAGATTTTCCTGAATAAATGCTTCTCCATTTGTTATATGCCCTAAGGACCATTTCCAAATAATTTAAATGGTTGCTTTTAACAGTTTTCACCAGCTTTGCTTGTTTCTCTAGGGAATGGGTCTGTGGAGCTTCTCATGCTGCCAAACGAAAGCCCCAGAATTTTTAAACTAGAAAGAAACCCTAGATTCCTAGATGTGGAAGGTTATCCTGTAGGCCAGTGCTTCTCAAACATTAATATGCATATGAATTATTTTAAGGTTTTGCTAAGTAGATTCTGACTCACTGGGGCCTGAGGCTTTACATTTCTCACAAGCTCCCAGGTAATGGCAGTGCTACTGGTTCGTGGACCACATTGGATAGCAAGATTATATATGACTTAGTTCTCTATATATTTTTTAAAAGATTTTATTGGAGAA